GGAAATCTTGAAGATAAAAGTTTCTGAGAAATTCTAAAAAGAAAAGTGAAGTATGAAATGAAATAGTTAAGTTTTAGGCTTTGTTAAAACTTCACAAAGTAATCTATGGTAGTGATTTACAAGCAATAAAGTTAACAATTGAAAAAATCTTTACCTGAATGGCTAATGAAGCAATAAATTATTCTCAAAGTTATACTTAAAGTTTTAATAATTTTTAAAATAGAGATGGGTGAGTTAGATAGAAACTTAACTTTAACAATATATTTTCCAATGTAAAGTATATATATATTTAATAAAGTATATATACTTAATCTGACAAAAAGTTTTAAAAAAAAACAATAGTATTTTTTAATATTGAATATCAAAATTAACTTGTTTTAAAGTATTTAGTATATAAATTTTCATAGATCACTTATGTCCCTTTTTTAGGAACAAAATTTATAGTTTTTCACTTTAATAGGAAAAAAAGTTAGAAAATGTTACAAATTAATGATTTGAATAATGGAAAACAATTGTGAATAGTTTTTTTATAGTTAATAATTTAAAAATTTTAATGTTTTCTAGTAAGAAATATTTGATTTTTGTTCCTGCCTCCTTCTTTAGTAATCTATCTTTAGTATGGTACCAACAAATTTCTTCTCATACTAAGGTCTTCTGATCACTAAACTTGTAAAACCTTAACAAGTATATGTTGATGGACATATGATTAATATACAGTTTACTTTTTTATCTAGTTTTATCTAGATAAGAATATATTTTAAAATACTCTTGTGTTTAGAGTACAATTCATTATTAAGAATTCTCTCATTCATTCAATCTCTGAGAAAATCATTTTTCTGATTAATAGATAAGGTTTCACATTGGTAGCCTTAATTAATAACTATATTTCTCTTTAGTTATTATTTATAGTTCTTATCTATTATATTACTTTAGTTCTATTTTTAGATCATATGATATATGTAATGCAAAGTGTGTCCTATTGATTCATAGGTTAAATTTAATCATTAAAACAAAATAGTGATTTATATAATACACATTATTTAATTTCTTTATTCTATTATCATATTTTATCTATATTTAGCTAGCAGGTTACCCAAGTAAGCAGATTTGACATATTGATCTGATTTGGTAAATTTGATAGATTTGGTTACTTTGATCATCAAATAATTAATATTCGATTATATATATAAAGACAGCTGTTCAAAACAGTTGACCTAAGGTTTTATCTACTAAATTCTTTTATTCTTGATATTATATATCTCTAATAAACCTTTTAATTAAATCAAATCATCCAAAACCTCTTTCAATGTATTTGTATAATTTCTACTATCCTTGAATTACCAACTTTAATATATTATGATTGAGGTATTCTCATTCAACTTAAAATAGATTACTGCTATAGTTATCCCATCTATTTATCTGATTTGGAGATTATTGGATAGGTTGATAACATATAGCATAGCCCTTTATAACTAAATCAAAGAAGTTATCAATCAGATTATAGTTTATTACTAAAAATAGACTACCTAGTATCGATTTACTATTGAGATAGAACAGGTAATTGTCTGATTTATCTTATTCAAATGATCTAATAGTACCAATAACTGAATCCATATTAATATTATCAATATCAGCATTAATGAGCTTTGTTGTATTGTCCGTATAATGAGATGGGTAATTTTTTACTTTTTTTTTAAAGTTTTTAATATCTCAACTTCTATAGCTATTGGTTTATATATACTATTGAAGTGTTTCTTTCTTGCTGAGTGACTATTGAAGTCTTTTCTATAGACTATATACTTGTATATTTTTGAAGATCAAGATTATTTAATTTTTGATTGTTTGTAAACAAGTAAACCTAACTTTTTTCTTCCCTTGAAACTGATTTTTTCATGGTTTTTATTTTCTTTTCTTTTTAAAAAAGCCAGTACTTACTTGTTGAATAAAGGTGGTAGTTTATTTAATATTATTAAAATAAATAGAAGAGGTTCTTTCTATCTATTTTATAAAGAGCTTCTTAACTTGTGTTAACTGTTTAATTGATCCCAAGTATTTAAAAACAATGTCATAGAGAAAACTAATCTCTACAGAAATGTTTGTCATAATATTGGTTTATATAAAACTTCACTTTATTATTTGCTTTTGTGAAAATTTTTTTATAAATAATATTATATTAATTTGAAAATATAAATTTATATATTTATAAAAAAATAAATTTATAAATATTTTTAAAAAAATAAACCTATGGGTCAATAACACAAAGATAGTGCTCCCAGATCACAATAATAAGATTTGTAGTTTAATACTACTTAAGAATCAAAATCAAAAATTATTTTTTTAATCAGGTTTATTAGTTATTCTAAGAAAGTTATATCTAATTATTTGAAACAAGATTAAATTAGGTTAGACTATAGAAAAATAGAACTTCTGGTCTTCTATTGATCAGGAATTGAAATTTACAGTTATACTATTGGAAAGATTGCATGAAGAAAGGTTTCTTATTTAGTTCACCATAATATTCCAAAGATTATCTATCTTGATAGTTTTTAGAACTTCCACTCCTTTAGTTCAGAATATTCTAATATAATGCTTCACTTAAATAAAAATCAATTAAACAAAGTTGATTTGATATTACAAATAGTGATAAAGAAGATAAAGTGCCCCCTTTGAGATCTGAGTAAATAATATCTGGAAGTATTGAAGTGTTTTTTTTTTTTTTTTTTTTTTTTTTTTTTTATATGACTCTCTGTCAGGCTAGTTATATGTGCTTTATTAAACAATTGTAAGCTGTACATTATATATATGATGCTAAAGCTAATCTCTAACTAACTCACTTATCAAAGTCTTATATTTATCTAGGAACTTTGGGTATGATTTATCGCTCTGTTAGTAGTTCAGGTAAAAACCCTTCTAACTTCTAACATCATCGCCCGCAGGTTACTACTGCATCTGGAAGTATTGAAGTGTAAATTACTGTAAATCTCATTAAGTATATACTATATAGACTAGTTTAGTAAATATAATATAAAATTTATAAATCTCAATATTAAATTAGTCTGTTTCACCATCAATAACTGTATATTTGACTGTCTTACTCTTATCTAGATTTGCTTCACTCACAAAGTAATAGTAGATTTACCTAGGATAAACCACAATAGGTTATTATTAATCGACATATATATAAAAATATATAGTTTATATAAGATAATTAATGTTAAGTTTAGAATTTCATTATTTAGATGTTAAGTTAATTTTTAATAAAGTGTTTGTATCTAATACTAGTTATGGTTTAAAAAAAAAATTTTTTTTTAAAAATTTATATAAGTTTTCAAATAGTTTAAAATAGAAAGAATATTTTAATACCTATAAATCAATAATATAATGGTAGTACTCCCAGGTTACAATTGCAAATATATAATTTAATACTATTTAAGAATTAAAATTAAAAATTATCTTTTAATCAGATTTATCTATTATCTTATAAAAGTTATACTTAATTATCTGAAACAAAATTAAATTAGATTATATTATATTAAGATGTGACTTCTGATCTTTTTTCAATTAGAACTAAGATCTATAATTATATTACTAGAAGAATTGTATAAAAAAAGGTTTTTAATTTAATTTATCATAAATGTCTCAAGACTTATCTATCTTAACAGACTCCAGAATCTCTACTCATTTAATATAGAATATTTCAATTTAATACTCTTTTTAAATAAAAATCAGTTAATAAGAATCAATTCAATGCTACAGGTAATAATAAAAAAGGCAAAACATCTTCTTTTAAGATCTGAGCAAATAATATTAGAAAATATTAAAGAGTATAAAAAATCTTATTAGGTAAATATAAAAAGAACTAGTTTAATAAAAATTATAAAATTTATAAGTTTAATACTAACTTGTCTAGCCACATCATTGATGATTATATATTAACTATTTGACTCTTGGTTGAATTTATTTATTTAAAAAGAGATAATATGTTTACTTAGAATTAATCACAATAGATATTAATATGTAAATATATAAAAATATATAATTTATATGAGATAATTGATAACATATCATAAAATTTAATTATCTAATAAAGAGTATGCATTTAATACTAATTGTAAATTAAAAAATATTTATTTTAATTAAATAAATTTCTTTTAAAAAAAGTTATTAATTTGAATAAAAATCTTTTAAAGAAAATTTAAATAGTTTTTATTTTTTATTTTTCATTTTTAAATTGATTTTAATAATTTATTATTTTTTAGAATAATTTATAATACTAAGCTATTGACAATGATTTTAATAAATAAAAATTAGCATATTAATATCAATTTATTAAAAAAGTAAAATATTGTTTTCAAAATTTGACTTGAAGTATTTAGTTATGACTTTGTTAATAGACTTTTTATATTTTTAAAATAATATGACTCATCAATCAATAATATACAATTATAAGTTAGCTATTATATAAATAGTTACAGTATATAATATTGTAAATATTTATTTAATGGTTTAATAAAGACTTACTAGGATAGTAAAATTGTAGGTCAAAAAAAATCTTATTAATATAATAAAGTTAATTATCAAATATATTTAATAATTAACAAATGCACAAACATTTATTAATATTTTATGTTATATAGATACAATTCTAAATTTGATATTTTAAAAGAAAATATTTGATACCAAAAAAAAATTATTTTTTTATACATCAGATACATATTAGCAATTAAATATCATAAAAGACATGTCATTTTACAAACTTTCTAATTTGGATCAAGTGCTATTGCGTTGCATTTGATATGATTTACAGATGATGAAAATTCTTTGCTTTAAGAGCTGTGTGAAAAGTCCATATTTAATCATACAATAAATATATTCATTAGAACTGATCGGTTAAACACTTTCTAGGGGCCATCGTTGAACAACATTTTTAATCTGTGTGTCATTTCCTGCTAAAATTGTGCCATTTCTCGTAGCTATAATCATCGTGGTATAAGTACTTTTCACCCTTCCACATCCCGAAGGAGTAGCGAGGAAATAATCCGAATTCATACAAACTATCTTATCTACAATACCCGACATACCAGCTCCCGTAAACTCTTTATCCACAAGTTCATTCTTTCGAATATTGCTAAATATATCCATTGACACCCATGTTTTGACATTTAATGATGAGTTTACGATATCCATCGCCTTGTGATGATCTTCAGTTAACAGGTGGAAAGTTGATGATTGGGTTTTTCCACCTCCGACCGGATAATCAGTAGCGAGATAAACATTTTGAATTCCATGAGCTTCTTTCAAGGAATCAACAGCCTTCACAAGGGATAGTGCGCAATTTTGTAACAAATCGATTTTGGCGCGTTCCATACGCCAATGAATGGCAATGTACGGCTTAATTCTATTTGTAATATTTGCCGCTTCATCGAAGAAATGACGTGCATAGGGTATTGGTGAAGAAGCCTCGGGAAATAATGGATGGAAAATGAAATGAGCTGTTAACAAAACTTCAACGTCCGACCTTAGATTGTTGACGAGAAAGTTTGAAAACGCGATATGTTTTTTTTTATTGGAATAAAATTTTTGTTCAACATAGAATTGCTTGAAGGGAGTGGTTTCGTCGAGACGAAAATCGAATCGACTAAGACAGTTTTTCTTTTTGAGTATGTCAGGATATGGTTTAATTAATTCAACAGTATTGTTTTCCTTTCCATTTAATATGTACGCATGTTCTGTATCCGGTTTTACATTACGTTCCTTTAACCAACTTTGAAAATCTACTTGTGAAATGAAATGAACCCTCGGAAATAGTTTTCTGAATTCTTCGGAATCATAGTAAAAATCGAAGGAGAAGTTTTGGCAAGAGTTGATCCGGGAATTTCCAACATTTGTCAAAACCATTGTACGATCAAGAGCCATTGCCAAGTTAACAAATGATCGATAATGCATGTTGGCTTTTGTCTCTTGTTCCGGTTGATAGTATGCAAAAAGGAATCGACAATTTGGCTTTCCACAGTATTTCATGTTTACTTTTCTATCATGTTCAGATTCGATGCTTTCTTCTAGCGCAGTTTCGTCAAAACCACAACAGGTTGCCTATAAATTCGATAATGTAATTATCATGTTTCAATCTCTTTTCAAAATGTTAAGACACAATGCTTGCGTGAATACTTACAGGATTAATGGGTATTTTATCCTCATAAAAAAAAAACCCAACTAGATTCACCGTTATCAGTGTGATAAAGAAGTACATTGTCATTCTTTTAATACGTTCACGTCTGTTATAAGAATATAATGGAGGCACGGTAGTAGATCTTTTTGGCATGTTTAAGATCTGATACAAAAAAAGCTTATATTATTTCTTTGATAATGTAAAGTTATAGGTGAAAGTTGAAGAAACAGAAAATCTCCTGGTTATGGAACGAATTTATAACAAAAATTTTGAGATTTCATACATCGTGTATCGAAGTTGTTTTTATCGTTATATGCGTGCATTCATTGGGGGCAGGTGGTTTTTCCTGAAAAGGGAATTCTCACACCCCGCCCAATTATCGGTACGCACGGATAATTACGGAACATGGAGATCACGGGTATTTAAGTTAGACAGGATAAAAAGATATGATTGCAAAGAATACATGATGCAAAAATCTATCCATCTAAATTTCAAAAATTTAGTACATTCCTCTCGCATTAGTCCCTTCAATTAATTTACCCTCCCTCTGCGTTTCGAATCCATTCTCTCAAATATTTTGTTGAAGTTTCTTCGCATCCGAGATAAATAATTTTTATTATCATACGTACATCGATAGGTAACTAAGGAATCGACAAACAATTAGATCATCTATTATTTACCTTTTTCTATTCTTTTTAATGAAAGCTTATGAGTTCGACCAAAGATTTCATAATCGATACCAACAATGAAGACTCATTTAGTTTGCTGCATCATAACATTTATCATTTATATACAAACTTCAAACGATCTCCTGGAGAAGTAACCAATGGGTACATGATTTCCAGTTGATCACCTGCGAGGCTTTAAATTTTTTTGAAATAAAACGAAGAAAATTATTTATTAATAGCGAATATTCGAATATTCAAATATTGTTTCTTTTATTTAGCTTGATAAGGTTGGAAGCAAATTTAAAATTAATCTATCCACAATTGGTCATATTGGTTTGTCACTTTTATTAATAAAAAACTAACACTATAGAATATTTCACGTTTACAATAAACTAGTCATTGATACAGTCATTACTTGAAAATATCTTTTAATTTTAAAAACTTAAAACCATTTTGATAATAATGGAATGCTTATTATAATAAAATAGTATAAACAATTGTTTTTTTTTTTTTTTTGTATACCCGTAGCCAGGTTAGATCGTTAGTTTATTAATCAAACAAGCGTAAAGGCTTGGGCGTTGCTCCAAGTTTAGTTATTTAAGTTTTACTTTTTTTAAAAAATTATAAAAAATAGGTTTATTTTGTTTTTATTTAAAAAAAAAAAGTTTTTTATTTAAAAAAAATAGTTTTTTTTATTAAAATAAATAGTTTTTTTATTAAAATAGATAGTTTAATTTCAAATAGCATAAAGGCTTGGGCTATAATCCAAGTTTAGTTATTTGAGTTTTATTTTTTTAAAAAATTGTATTTTTTTTATAAAAAAAGTTTTTTATTTAATTTTTTATTTAAAAAAATATATATATATTTTTTAAATAGTGTAAAGGCTTGGGCTATACTCCAAGTTTAGTTATTTGAGTTTTATTTTTTTTATAAAAAATTGTGGTTTTTTTTAAAAAAACAGTTTTTTATTAATTAAAATCATTATTTAATTACTGATTATTAATTATAATATCTAATTAATTATTACTCATCAATTCTGATTTTTAATTAATTATTAATCAATGATTCTGACTCTAATTGATTACTAATCATCAATTATGATCTTTAATTGATCACTAATCATCAATCTCGATTACCAATTGATCACTAATTATCAATTCCAATCTCTAATTGATTACTAATCATTGATCTCAATCTCTAATTAATTACTAATTATTGTTTAGATCACTAATTGATTACTAATCATTGATTCCAATCTTTAATTGATTCTTAATTATCGATTAAATTACTAATTGATTACTAATCATCGATCCCGATATCCAATTAATTATTAATTATTGATAGATCACTAATTAATCACTAATCAGTGATCTCATTCACTAATTAGTTACTAATTATTAATCCTGATCACTAATTAGTTACTAATTATTAATCCTGATCTCTAATTAATTACTAATTTATATTCTAATATCTAATTAATCAATAATTTGTAATCCCAATTTCTAATTAATTACTAATTAGTAATTTCACTCTAATTAATCAGTAATAATCAATTTTATCTCTAATTGATTATTAATTATTGATCTCAATCTCAAATTGATCACTAATCATTGATTTTGATATCTAATTGATTACTAATCCTTGATCCTGTTCTCGAATTGATCATTAATCCTCGATCTCTAATCTTAAATTGAACACTAATCTCTAATTGATTATAATCCCTTATTGATTACTAATCATTAATCTCGATCTTGAATCAATCATTAATCATTAATCTCGATTACCAATTAATCATTAATCATAAATCTTAATCTTAAATTTATCACTAATCCTTGATCCTAATCTCAAATTGATTACCAATCCTCAATCCTGATCTCAAATTGATCACTAATCCTTGATCCCAATCTCAAACTGATTACTAATCCTTGATACCGATCTTAAATTTTTCACTAATTCTTGATTCTAATCTCAAATTATTCACTAATTCTTGATTCCGATCTCGAATTGATTACTAATCCTTGATTCTGATCTCGAATTGATCTCTAATCCTTGATCCCGATCTCGAATTGATTACTAATCCTTGATCCCAATCTCGAATTGATCACTAATCCTTGATCCCGATCTAGAATTAATTACTAATCCTTGATTCCAATCTCGAATTGATCATTAATCCTCGATCCTGATCTCGAATTGATCATTAATCCTTGATCCCAATCTCGAATTGATCATTAATCCTCAATTCCGATCTCAAATTGATTACTAATCCTCAATCCCAATCTTGAATTAATCACTAATTCTCAATCCCAATCTTGAATTGATCACTAATCCTCGATCCCGATCTCGAATTGATCACTAATCCTCAATCCTGATCTTGAATTGATCATTAATCCTCAATCCCAATCTCGAATTGATCACTAATCCTCGATCCCGATCTTGAATTAATCACTAATCCTCGATCCCAATCTCAAATTGATCACTAATCCTCAATCCTGATCTCAAACTGATTACTAATTCTTGATACTGATCTCAAATTATTCACTAATTCTCGATCCCGATCACGAATTGATCACTAATCCTCGATCCCAATCTTGAATTGATCACTAATCCTTGATCCCGATCTCAAATTAATCACTAATCATCAATCCCAATCTCGAATTGATCACTAATCACCGATTCCAGATCTCGAATTGATCACTAATCACCAATTCCAATTTCTAATTAATCACTAATCACTGATTCTAATCTCTAATTAATCACTAATCACTGATCTAGATCACTAATTAATCGTTAATCACTGATCTAGATCACTAATTAATCACTAATTAATTATGTAATCACTAATTAATCATTAATTAATTATGTAATCACTAATTAATCACTAATTAATTATGTAATCACTAACTAATCACTAATTAATTATGTAATCACTAATTAATCACTAATTAATCACTAAATAATTATGTAATCACTAATTAATCACTAATTAATTATGTAATCACTAATTAATCATTAATTAATCACTAATTAATTATGTAATCACTAATTAATCACTAATTAATCAATCACACGTTTAATCAGTGATGTCGGAGATTGATGTCTGAAATTGATGAAAACCCAGCACATCACACTCGTGTCACCTGGCACCGACATCGTGACATATCGTGTCATGACCTCAGATAACATACTCCCGAGCTCCAAAAAATCCTGTCACACCCCGCATTTTTAAAATCATCTCTCGTGATCGCCGGAGCATAAGAACTCAAATTCTGGTTTTATAGTCACACAGAATAACGCTTTATTATAGGGTCGATAGAATTCTAATTCCAAGAATAGAATTTCAAATGCAGCATAGTATATTATCATGGAAAACATGCAATAACCTAACAACCAGATTCCGAAAACTATTCAAGATCAAATATACATTATGCAAATTGATACCTAATAGCGTAGTACACCACCCTAAAATCTATAGCCTCAAAAACATATGGATGTTACAAAGAGAAAGTCAAGTTACAGGTCTTTGTAATAGG